TGTTCAACTGAGATGGCTGGCCCATCCCCAGGACCTCAGTTCCACCGTGTGTCAGAGAGCAGCTGCACCAGGAGCAAGTGCAACAACAACAACCCACACCTGCCGAGCTGGTGGGACAGCGAGTGGCGGCCGCGCTTCCGGCTGGGGCAGTGCCACTGAAAGGGGATCCCCACTTCTGATAAGCAGTGAGGGAGCAGGGAAACAATAGGTGGCTTGATGAGAGCTGCTCTTCGATACTCCTGAGAAGCCCCACAGTCAGCACTGGCCAAAGAGGAAATTGGGGGTTTCCACAGCAACCTGTTCAGGGCACAAAGGCCTAACTGTCTAGGGGGAAGCAATGGAGGTGTCTCAGCACTCCCATTTTAAGAAGGGACAGTGGTGGAAGGCTGGAGTCTTTCTGAAGCCAAAGTACCTGCCAGAGCATTTCTGTACAGCAGGAGTTTAATTGGGTAGCAGTCCTGTAACCAGGGAGGAGCAGTGCTAGAGGAGGAAGTTACTGCAGACTTTAGCCCAGCTAAAAGGCCTTCAACAGTGCAAGAAAGCTAAAAAAACAGCATTGCACTTGGCTCCCTAATCTAACCTTACTAATACAGTACATGAAACACAGAGAAAAAAATAATACCCAAATTGGCAGAGACAGCTGAGAAAGTAATCTCTCAGACATACAGGACTGAGATACATACAGGAAAGAGAAAGAGACAAAAATCTCCAAATACATTTAATTTAAAATAGGGAGATTTAGAATTTATTTACACAAACACTAACCTAAATTAGAAATATCCTTGGAAATGCAAAACAAAAAACAATGGCTGGAATCTGATCAGTCTGTGATAATTAACTCATCCACACCCCAGTCTTCATAGCTGCCATCTGGAAGGTAACGACGGATGATTATGGGGATCTTGCGTGCTCTGAAGGGAAGAGAGATGAACAGAAAAGTCAGAATCTCCACTGTATCACTTCAGGAGGCAACACAAGTGAGGTGCTTGGTGACTTCAATAAACTCTTCAGATTTAACTGAGAGCTGTGCAGCACCAGTGATTTGATATTATATAGCAAAGTCCCAACAACCTTCTGTCATTTGTAGATGCAAAGCGCTCAGCACTCTCAGACTACAAACACCAAAGACCTCAGACCTCTGTTGCAGGAATTGAGCCTTGCAGTCTGAACCCACTAAGAGACAACATCCTGATATAGGGGGGAAATATAAATCAAGGGACTTGAAAAACAAATCCATTTTTTGTTTGATGGAAGGTTTTTCCTCACACGACACCAAAAAGGTGGCAGAATTCTGAGAACTTCTAGTAAAAACTGGTATTTACAGAGAAATTTGCATCCTGAGAGCATCAGTTACATTTTAAGGATACATGAAACAGTTACAATTCAGGTACCAAAATCTGTTAAGGCTGAGGTGGAGCACAGGACCTGCTAACAGTGCTTTGCTGCTTAGAGAGCAACAAAATGAAAGTAGATTTAAGTCAGCACAGTATAATCAGATAGTCTGGAATCTAGCCAGGGCATCAGGTTTCACCTGTATCAGACTTGAAAAGTAACACAACTTCTTTACATTCAGGGAGGTTGTTTTTCCAGTAGTAAAGTAACTCCCTGATGCTAAGAATTACAACTGAATTTTGGCACAGAACACGATGCACCACCCTGACTTTCCAGAGCTCACACACAGGCAGTGACTAGAAGCAACTCAGTCTGAGCCTGGAGATCTGACATGAATATGACCTAAGGAGCTTCTAGCAACAACAAAGGGAGCTGTTATAGACAGAAAATCTGCAAGAGTAGCCTCAGTGCACTGAGAATCTGGGGAAGCAGGGGACAATTTCGTTCAAGGTCAGGGACCTAATCAGTAACAGAGTTCAGCTGCTTGAAGGGTATCTGCATGTGATCTGTATCGTGCAGGAAAACTGTGGGACAGCAGGGAGCTCTGCTGTGGAAAGGTGGGCCTGCAAGTGGTCATCTAAAAGCTGCCTCTGCTGCAGCCAGAAAGGATTTACTTACCTTTCTGTAAGCAGGGGGAAAGCACAAGAAGCTAAGCGTGCAAGGGTGCAGGAAACAAACATTCTCACCAGCCTGACCCTTATTTTAATTTTTTCCAGCACTTCATTTGAACACAGGTCTGTTCACATGGCTGCTTCAAAACAATTCCATTTGGAGAATTAAATCGATTCCCAAAAGATGAGGACCTTGGGAATCCATCATAGAAATAAAGAACACTGGGACTGTGAAGTAGAAGAGATCCAGAGCACTCCTAATCACCAGTATTTGTAGGAGCAACTAGGATGGGAGAGAGAAGCTGCGGAGAAACTCCAAGGTGAAAAAAGGGAAAGGCAACTATAGTGCTCACTGTTTTCGAGGGAAGATAAGATTGTTTTAGAACAAACTGCTAAATGCTGGAATGAGGAGAGCACTGCTGACTTTACAGAAATCAGTACAAAATCTGTGACTTACTTGAGTTCTTTCATGGCAATGAGCAAGGGGTCTGTCTCTCCTTCCAGCTCCACCATCACAGGGGCACACATCCTAGGAAGAACAGCAACAATCACTTGAGCAAAAACAGAGAGGGAAGAAGGACAGCTAAACACCTGCCTACCTGGGTCACCTCTACAACAGCCAATAAAGTAGGAGAGTGGGACACCATCCTGACAAAACAGATTTGCTCTGTTGTGCACTTCAAGAAGAAAATTCCATAGATGCTTACAGAACAAACTTCTGCTTCCATGTTCTTCTTATCCCACCCCTAGGGCTCTGCTAACCAGCTCGTGCTCAAGGGCTGGTGAAATCCACACTCTCCTAGCCGCCCTCTGCTGTACTTAAACATGAAGAAAAGAGTGGTTCTAAAATTAACCAATGAAAAAGGTGGAACTGCTGTAAAATGAGCAGGCCTCCTACAACTCCAACACATCTCTTACATTCTGACTTGCTCACAGCTTCCAGCTCTTGATCAGGGGAAGAGACGGGCTGAATTTTACCACATTTTACCTCTTGGAAGAAAAAATTAATCGTTTTGCAAAGAATTGTGACTACACCCATCCATAGAACAGCGGTGGCAGAGAAAGCTCACAGGATGTACGGATAAGGCCATGGGGGGTGCTGCTGGTCTGGGTATAGCACCGAAGGCAGAAGATGCAGGTGAAGCAAACCAGGAGCCAGAGTGTTTTGGATTAAAGGCCTGGCATGGGCTCATCTCATCTCCCCCCATTTTTCCTGCCTTTTGCCAACTGAAAGAATGTGCACCAAACAGCTTCACAAGCTATGCAAAGAACAGCTTGGCTGCCTCTAAATCATGCACAAGAGAAGCCTCATTTTCAAAGTGGCTATAACCAAGATGGAACCCTTGCCACTGTCTAACAATCTAGCTCAAAAGGTAGTTTTTCAAAAAGCACACTTTATAATATTTATTATTAAAACAAGTCTAAAAAGGCAAATGGAGCAGCCAGTCTTGACAGCATTTAAAGTAAGTTCTAAATGTTTTTGCCTATTATAAATAAGGCCTTATTATTGCAAATACTGTAAAAAACTTACAGCTTCCAACAATGCAATTGCACTTAAAATGGATTTCAGGTTGGTTTCTTCACTCCCAATTCCTACACTGCTGTGGTTTCAACGGAAGCTGTTTTGAAGCATCTCTCCCTCCAACATTACCTCTTACAAGCCAGTTATGAACTTTCAGGTCTATGCTGGCTCTCTTAGGAAAGAAAGAAACCAGAACTGTCTTGTCCCATTCCCTAGTAATTTTGTTTGTAGGAAAACTCCTTGTGGCTACTAACTGCTCCCTCTTTATGCACAAGTATCAAACAAGGAGAGACACAGAGACTTCAGGTGCAACTAAGAGCTCCATAGCCCTGTGCATCACAGGGTTGACCAGAGGGTGACATGCAAGCTCAGCAGTCATGCAAAGAATTCAGAAGATCTGGGAATTTTTAAGTGAAGAAGAGAGCACGTGTCAGCGTAAAGGGAGGCGCAGCTGCAGCAATGCTGGGACACAGTGAGTAGTACTCACGCTATCTGGAGAGCACGAGTGCCCAGGACTCTGGCTCGCTCGTACTTGGTCATGTAGGGGGTCGTGATCCGCTTCTGGTTTGCCTGCTGCCGCTCTCCCGAGGGCAGAATCTCCACGTTTTCCTGTCCCTCCTGGTGGAAAGAGACCAGCACCGCTGCTCAGCCGCACCCGCCACCGAGGCCCTGAGGTGTAGGGGTAGCCACTGAGGCCTCCCTAACCACAGCAGCCGCCCAGCCAGGCTGCGACACGACCCTACGGGTCCGGCGGAGCCTGCCCGGGCCGGCCAGCGCAGTGGCCCAGGGGGCACCCACCTCCTCTGCGTTCTCGAGGTCCTCCAGGCCTTCATCCTCCTCCACATCGTCGAAGTCATCGCCGTCAAAGCTGCGGGAGAGACACGCATCGCACTTGTGACCGACCCGACCCACGCTGCCACCTCCCCTCGCTGCCCTCGGCCGCCCCGCGCTCACTTGTCCTCGTTGTCGGACATGTTGCCCGCCCGGCGCCCCCTGACCGGCACTTCCGGGAGCCACTTCCGCGTGTTGCCGTGACGCTACCGGAAGTTATCCTGCGCCGTTGCCATGGCGACCGCCGCCACTTCCCCCTCCCCTGTGTCCCCCGTCTTGCCCGACCTCCGCCCGTCGCGATGGAGATGGCGGGGATCTCGGGCCGCGGCGGGGACTCGGCGGCGGGCAGGCCGGCCCGGTACAGCACAGGCACGCGGGAGCTAGTGAGAGGTAACGGCGGAGCGGGCCAGGGCCAGGCCCGGCTGCTCGGGGCGCAGGGGTCCCGCCCACTGTGCCTCGCCCAGAAGTAGAGCGTCCCCCTGCGGTCCGGCAACCGGGCGGGCCCGTAGCCGGTGTCGCCGCCCCGGCTGGAGTCTCCCAAACTCGCATCTTCCCCTTCAGGTTGGAGATGTGAGGGGAGGTGACCCTAGGACGGGTTCCCCTGCCCGGCTCTGCTGCTTCTTCATGGACATGTTGTTTTTCAGCGATGATGGAGGAGTTGCAGCTGACGCATTGCCACAAGCGATACCTCATGGACTATGTGAAACGTGAGTGAGACCCCCTGGCTCTCCTGCCCGCTGCCGTGCTGTGGTGAGGAGCTTTTACATCTCGGCTTGAGACGGGGACATTTGCCCACAGCCTGCTCGGATGGGCAAGTGCTTTAAAACAGCAGCACAGCAGCTGCTGACACATGGGGACAAACGGGGCGAGCTGTCCCCATGGGTCAGCGAGGAAACAAGGCGCAATGGTGTGACTTGAACCGCAGTCTGTCGTGCCCAATGACAAGGGTGCTCTGGGATCTTTGTGATGCTACTATTGATCAACAGGTAGATCTGCTGGCAACGGCCCAGAGCGATCCATCCAGAATCCTCTCTGCCTAATTTGCTGTTATTTTTGGTTCGTCCCCCAGGAGGAGATGCCCTGCCCCTTCAGAGATTCCCCCCCTCCAGCAAAGAGCCAGTGCCTGTTTCCTACCCAGCAGACTGTCAACCACGCAGGCTTCCAGCTAGACCACTTCTCCGGCCTGCCAAGGTCTGCCGGGCAGGAGATGCCTACACCCGAGAGAAATTCAAGCCACAGCCCACACGTAAGTCAGCAAACATTGCTAATAAATATATGGTGATGCCTGGAGCTTCTCTTCCCCTTCTGTCCATCCCCTGCCTCAATCTCAGCAGCGGCAGTGTATCTGAATTGCTCCACGTCTTCACGCTCAAAAATGCTTCAGAAATGGATCTCTGAGGGAACACCTGCTGCAAGTGCTTGCTGACTTCTGCCTGCCAGCTGTGAGGTTACAGGTGATAGGGACCTGCACAGTCCTTGAGCAAGAACAGAGCACTTCGTGATTTTCTAGCACATAAATGTGAACTACACCTCTGATGTCGGTTTAGTGGGCTCTATACACCCGTGTGGTGCTTGCACACAGTCCAGGGGTGGACTGACATTAATGAAATATTTCTCTAGCACAGTTAGCAGGGAAGCAGTGTGGTCAGGCTCCTCCATGAGGAGACATGCTGATAATAATGTTTTTTTTTTCTTTGGTATTCACAGGAGATTTGGAAAAGGAGAAGAGAAGACTTCAAAACATCCTAGCAACAGGGAAGGAAGAGGTGGAGGATGAGGTAGTGCAGGTGTTTGTTCGGAAAAAGGAAGAGGAGATAGCTGAGCCTGACCGGTTTGAAGAATGTACGTCTTCGTGTCCCCAGGAGGGAGGCTGCCAGAAAGTCTGGGAGCCAGCTCCCTCCTAGGGCTGTGTTGCCAGTAACCTGAAGCCTGTTACAGGAGAAGCCACAAAGCCCAGTTTCCAAGAGAAAGGACTTGCTGCTGTGACACTCTGAGCCAGCCATCCTCACAGAGCTTATACTGCCGAGGGTGGCTGGCAGATAGCTCTCTGGGCTGCCCACACAAAATGCACCCTGCTGGCAGGGGAATAGCCTAGGCATGTGCAGGGATAACTGGGATGCAAGGTCAGGAACTGTTTGTCCTTTTCCCAGCAAGCATGACTCAACATAGACCTGGTCACTTGACAGCCTGACGACAGTTTGGGCCGTTGCACTCCAGGATCACAGCAGTTGGATTAGCAAAGCTTTAATATTGAGCAGAATTTGAAGCAGTGAAAGGCCTGCAGAGTATACTGAGATAGCAAAACCCTGCCTAATACCCCTCCGTGTTTGAATCTTCAATGTGTGTGTACTGCCCTGCAAGCCCTTTGCCAGACAAGGCAGCACGAAGATGGGCAATGCTAGAATAATGTGTGCTTTGATCCCTGCTGCAGGGAGCCAGTGCAGCTGGTTTCACACAGGCTTGGTAGCTTCCAACACTTGTCACAAGTTGAATGTTGTCCTTGACACATCAGTGACAGGATTTGGATCCGCTGGGTGCAGGTCTGTGCTGCAAAGCAGCAGCTGATGTTCCATGCCTGGTTTTGGATCATTGCAGTCACTGGGTAATGCATGTCAACTAATGAACCTGAACAGCAGGTTCTGTCTCCATCCACAGACTGGTTAAATTGCCCACAAGCAAAAGAGAATTGTCTGCATAAAGAAAACTAGAAAATTACTGTTCCTGGGAGTCAGGAAGTGGTAAGAAGTTGGGCAGAGGGGATATTTCCCATTAAGTAAGGGACTACTGAGTTATTTTGATGACATGCTGAGCAAGGTGAGTGTTAGAGCAGATATCACCCTGCCTTGACAGGACTGCTGTTCAAGCAGAACTAGGAAACTGGGGGTTCAGAAACATGTTTTCTTGCCTTTTGGCTGCATGCTGTTTCCACAGTTCTTTCTCTTGTCCACCAGTGATGAATGAAATTCAAGAGAGGAGGGAATTCCTGGCAGAGATGGAAGCTCTAGGACAGGGCAAGAAGTATCAAGGGATCATCCTCACTGAAATCTCACAGGTATGCAGGGGCCTTGGCTGAACAGTACATGGAGGGAATCCCATGTGTCAGAGATCATAAAGCAGAGTCTTCTCAGATACCTGAGCAGGGAAGGGGGCAAAGAGCTGCTTCCCTTCATGGCACAATTCAGGCATGAATTTGGGGAATGGTGGATAGTGGTTTTTGAGCTTTCTTTCCATCTCTGCATGTAACTTAATCAGGGAAATAGAGGGTTTTTTTCTTGAGATTGGCAAAAAAAGGGGAAAAAAAGCTGCTAACTTTCTCCCTGCTCAGCTCTCCCCCTTTGTACTTTGCAGAAATTGCATGAGATGGAGACCATTGACAAGAAGAGAAGTGAGGAAATAAGAAACATCGTGACAAAAACCTTCCCTGTTGGGAACAAATCCAATCTCCAAGACTAGGCCAAGGGCAAAACACAAGTGCAATTTGTTCCCACCTATTCTTCCCAGACTCTTGGAATTGGAGGCTGGTCTGTGTCTGTTTCCAAATAGGGGGCAGCACCATCTGTTGCCTGAAACTAGAAGGCAGGACCAATTTGTACATAAACAGTGACAGAACTTGTAAAATCCTTCCCACACATTGGATCCCTTCTTGCTCAATAATATTAAAGACCTGAAAACACATAGCAACGGCTACCAAAACATGAGAAAGCAGAACGTTCTTTTGCCTGTGCAGTGCCTCAGAGTACAGCAATCCATCCATAGAAATGTCATTCCTTCCCATCTACCCAGAGGTGGAGGTTTCTTTTGATAGTATGAGAACACGCTGCCACCACACCTGTAACCTGCTTGCTCCTGGCCCTGTGACTCCGGGAATGTCTCTGGAGGAAGGTGCAGCTGCACAGCCTTGTGCAATCACAAGCCCTTGGCATTGCTGCAGGTCACTGAGGCTGTGACCTGCAGCATCAGCAAACCTCTGGTGGCAGCCCACTGGGCAGAGGCTCAGGAAAACAGCTGTGCCAAGCAGGCACAGGGATTTCACCCCAGTGCCTGCTGCTTTTTGCTGTGGGCTTGCTGTGATTTTTTGGTTCCTGAAAGCATGGTATGCAGAATAGCCACTCTATTCCCACAGAAACTGGAAATGGCTGTTTGCTCACCTCATAAATATCTGCACCTCTGTCCTCCAGACAGAAGCATGATGTCCTGCTTTTCCTGTGCAAATCCCAGCATAATGTCCAGTTTCCAATTTCCTTAAGATCTCGGCTTCTTAGCAATACTCAGCCACTTTCCAAAGCCAGGCAGCATGCCCTGGCCCTGGGACAGCACAAGTGCACAAAGGAATCAGAAACCTAATCCACAATCATTTTTTAAGTCCAATGTTTCTTTTATTTCTGTTCAGGTGAATGGAAGTCATGGAGTTAGTACAGTATAATTTACAAATCAAACTTCTGACTGGGTGCATGGCCAAGAGGTGTCAGGCTGCAGCAATCCCAATGGCCTTTGGCAACAGTGATGTGAGAGCAGGCTCTAAAGCAGATTTGTTTCTCCATGGAGAAGAGTTGTGCTTTGGGATCTCCCCTACCACTGCTCCTCATCAGCCTGCTGGGTATGGCAAGGGTGAGATGGCATTACCAGCACAGGGCTGAGCTGGCCAGCTCCCAGCCATGGGGGCCACACTGGGATTGAGGTGGGGCTTGGGTCCCTCTGGTTTTGGGAAATGAGGATCCCTCTCCAGAATGCTACACCAGCCACCTTGCAAGGCACTGCTCCGAGAGCATTTTGGCTAAAGCCTGTTGGGTTTTTAGAAGAGACTGCAGCAGATGGCTCAGGGCTGGTTATGTATAATTTGCTAATGAGAAGGCATGAACAGCTGACCAACCAAACACCCATGAAACTCTTAATTCAGACTGATCCAATAATTCAATAAATAACTCATCATCTTGGAAGTGAAGGCAGGAAACAAAATGGAAGGAAGAAGGGATGGTTGGAAGAACACTGCTCCCCCATTCCCTCCTCTGATGTACACACACGCACACACATGACAAATAAAATAAGGGGTTTAAAGTTTTAGGATAGGTTTGAATTCATCTAGTAAAGGAGGTGTAAAAAATAACCAGCCACATCTGCACACTTTTAAAGTATACACAGATGAAGCTGGGTAAAGGTCAGTTGTGACCGCGCCTCTCTCCCCTGCCGCTCAAGGGTGGCACTGGTGAGCAGGGACACAAGTTTACTGCCCCTTGCCTGCACTCAGTCAATCTTGAGCTTTTCTGCCTTTGCCTGGAAAAGGAACAGGTCCTCCCTCCCCAGGAAGGCAGCAGTCAGCAGTGTTTAGCAGCAGTGGGGTTCCTGAGTAGGGCACGTGAGCTACATCCTAGCAGCTGTACGCCATCCCCTTGGGTCCTCTCAGCCTTGGGACGGAGCCCACCCATCCCTGGCACTTGAGGGAGGGGACGGCTCAAAATAAATAGGGCACCAGGTTTTTTTTGGCTATGGCTCTAGAGCCTTGTGATGCAGGAGTATTTTCTTAACCTTTTACTTAGGCAAGTAAAACCCAAAGGATCCTGATTCTAATGTCAGTTCTTTCCTGAAGTTAAAAATGGGACAGAAAAGGGACAAGAGTGGGCAGGCAGGGAGGGACAGGGAGGCCCAGTCCCTTCCTGGCAGAAGTCAGAGGCACGTGGAACTGTCACAGTTAGAGCGGGAGAAGGGACGGGGTGAAGTTAGTGCAAGTTTTCCCACAAACACGAAACTCTTTGCTTGTTCAGTTAATGACGAGATATGTAACATATTCAGATATGTTACAATTGGGTAACATATCTGAAAAGCAAATCCATCTTCTCCCCACCTTGTTAACAAGGCTTCATGGAGGGTATGGTCATGCTCCCCCACAGCCTCAGGAAGGGGAGGGCTTTGGTCATTCTCACCCACTCTGGGCTGAGAGCTGGCATCTCGCTGGGGTGACAGCTCTGGTGCCCGGGGAGGGAGCAGGGGGAGAGGCGAGCCAGGGCCAGGGAGAGGTGAGTCAGGGTTCCCTCGCACTGCTGGTATTCTCCTGCTCTAGCTTTTCTCCTTGGGTGACTTGCTCTTGGAGTCATGCTTGTTGCCCAGCAGCTTAAGCACCTTCATGGGCTTGAATTTGCCTTTCTTCTTGCCCTCGGTCTCCGTCTCCTTGTGAAACTCTGGGGTTGCAAAGGGAAGTTGTTACTGTGGGATGTCAATAGTTGAGCAGACAATGGGCAAGAGTGAGAGCCACGAATCAAAGCTCTTCACTACATGCACAATTTCTCTGATAACAGGGGTGTGCAGCACAACTGTGCCTCTAACTTTATTGGCCCTACAGGAAAGTCTCTCCAGTCTACACAGCATAGATTCAATCTCTCCTGCACACAATTTCACAAATAGCTCATGCTGCCCCTCATTGAGGTCAGCAGTGAAAATATCACTCCAAAAAGCTTCCCATTTGTTTCTTACCTTTCCTTTTAATCATGGCTTCTAACATTTTATCCTCCTCCTCTTCTCTGAAAGAAAGAATGCGAAAAAGGTCAGGAATTCAGCCGTGAAAACAGCTGCTGTATTGTTTAAGGCTAGAGAGCCTCCTACTTAGAAGCCATAGAGGGGCAGATCCATCACTGTCTTGTGAGCATGTGCAACCAGCAGGAAAAATCCCATATGCTGCACGTGCTGTCCTGTCTTTCCCACACAAATCATTCAAAGAGACAACAATCACGAAGCCTGGTAAAGACTTCAGCCACATGGATATCTTGGGACACCCCCACAAGGCACTCATGTGGCACTGAGTCAGACAAGGTGCGCCTTTCCCTTCTCCCCCAGCCCACCTCATTCCTCACTCACCTCTGCCGGTCCTCGTCCAGGCAGTTCACAATGGCATTCCTCTGCTCGATGATGGTCACCAGCTCCTGCATCAGCACTTTTTCCCTTCCTCGGTCCTCATCAGTCCAGTCCTTCTCTACCCGGCCAAACCCCAGGAAAGGACAGGCAATTACATGGCTGAAGAAGCACTGAAATTCAGAGCTTCGGGGCAGAGATCTCCAGCACAATCCTCTCTACCCTGCCATGTTTCTGGGCCAGTTGGCCTAGCAGTGCTGTGGGGACAGAGCCCTGCATGTAGCGTTCCCTGGGGACAAAAGGAGCAAGTCCCTGCACAAGGATGGGACATACACCGAGATGGGACAGAGCCTCTAGAGTCAGCTGATTGCACTGGCATCCCTACAGATCTTCCTCTCTTCACCTGAGATCCATTTAGAGAGAGGGGAGATGATGCCCAGGGGAAAAAACGATCCTTGTGTGTCCCTTCCAACTGAATATATTCTATGATTCTATGAAAAAGGTGTAAGCACACCAGAGTGGTGCTTTACCTGGCTTGTTGAGGAGGCACCGCAGTTCATACTCCACATCTGACTGTCGCTGCTCCAGGTTCTGCTGCTTGAAGCTGCAAAGGAAGAGGGAAATGTCGGGAAGCATAGCAAGGCTCCAGAGAAGCAGAACATCATCCCAAAGTACAGGGTGATCTTGGAAAGATCTGTCAAGATGCTGATCTTGTCCTGTATGGTCAGGGAGCCAAGGACCACTAAGGACCAGCCCTGGCTGCTCAAGGCCTTCCTGGAGAAGATGCTGCAGAGGCTCTGGATGGTGACACTGTGGGTCAGTTCTCAGTGCATCTGGACAGACTTGCTTTGCCCTTACTCCCTCCTTTTTCTAAGCAAGGAGGCCCTGTCAGGATCTCCCCTGGAAGCATCATTTCAGGAGGGCTGAGAAAGGGTTCCCCAAGAGAGTGTCAGTACCTCTCCACACGCCTGCACATACTTACATGTAGATGAGCTCTGACTCATGGCGCACCAGCATGTGCTTCTCATGGATGAGTTTGAACCAGTCCACAAGCAGGCTGTCCTCAGGGTTGTCTGCCAAGCAAAGGGACAATTCAGAGCCATTCATAGCCCTTGTGGATACCATCCACTTGGGCTCTGCCAAGCCAAGGGAGGGGCACTGGGCTAGAGCCAACCCAACCTCAGCCTATTTCTGAGGCCCAGAGAGACCCTATCTCTTCTCCCACCTGATTTCATTCTAGGGACATCTCCATGTTCAGGGTAAGGTTGTGACCAATCTTGGAGGCCAGCATAGCCTCTTGAGCTCTTCCAACCCCAGCATCAGCAGGGAGGAAGTCACTGCTACTATCTCCTTGGCTGGAGAGAGGGCAGCCCTTGGGTCTGTCCTGCCCCACACCCACAGACAGCCCAACCCACATACCATTCTCAGCACTGCGAAGTTTTTCCTCCAAGGCCACCCCACGGTGCTCCAGCTCATCAAGCTGATGCTCAATGGCATCCATCTCCCCATAGATGTCTTCCTCGGGGATGTATTGATCTGTCTGCACCTGCCAAACCATAAATCAGACACTTTCGTTACCACTAGACTCCAGTTTCCAGGGGTAATTCAGAGGTTGGTCAACACTAACAAGGGCAGGGGGACAACAGAATATTCCATCAAAGTATGGATCTGAACTCCCCACCACACTCTGGAATAAAGGAAGACCATGGTGCTTTCATGCAGAAGGTGTAGCCTACACACCCTCCTCCCCAGCCACAGCCACCTGCTGCAATCCCTGCCCACACATGCATCAGCAGGTTGTCTGCAGACTGCTACAGCCCTGGGGGATAGCACAGAGCCGGCTTTTCCCTGCTTGCTCCCGAGGGCCCTTTTACCTTGCGTTTGATCAGTGGAAAGCCATGGCCTGGTGCAGGAGGACGCACAGGCTTGGAGCCCTTGGGAGGTTTCTTTGCTGAGGGGGAGGCAGCAGGTGATGGCTTCCGATTGAAGGGGTTCTCTTTGCAGGAAGACTGGAGAGGGCAGACAAAAGAAGATATATGAGTATCCAGGGAAGGGAAGAGAACCCAACAGAATGTGCAGACAAGGCAGTGCTAGGGTTTGTCTTGCTCCACAGCCTCCTAAAGGAGGAACACAGCACTCGCCTCCACAAGCACCTAGTAAAAAAAATAACCGCTCCTGTTTGACATCAGTTTCCCAGCCTCTCTCTCACAAGCATGCTGAAAGATTTTCCTTCATAGTTCCCTTCCTATTTGCTCAGACTACATGATACCCTGCCTCTTCTCTAGCACATGGGGTAGGCAGAGTACAAGCAGAGCCATCACTTAACACAGGCCTGAAGCTTGCTTTCAAGGGGTCACACATCAAGCCTACCAACGGGGCAAGCCTGGACTCACAGATCCCATGTGACCAAATGATGGATGGGGAAGAAGAGCCCTGTGATCCGGATGGGGGTCATCATCTCACCTTCAGCTGTGGTTTGGGTGAGGAAGATGTCTTGGGGCTCCCAGCACCCCCATCTGAAGCCAAGAGGATGGGTGTAGGGCTAGCCCCAACTGGAGGCTTGGGGGGCAGCCGGCTGGGGCTGGTCTTTAGGCTGCCAGTGGAGATGCTCCTGCTGGTGTGTAGGGTGCTGGGCTGCGTCTCCCCACTGAGGCTGGCCAGCTCGCTGGAGGAGGAGAAGGAGGAGTTGGTGGAGAGACTGGCTGGGACAGCAGGGCTTTCACTGGAGGAGACACTGGCCAGCGGTGCATCAGTGCTGGAAGTCTTGGCAGCTGTTGGCATGTGCACAGTGGGCTCGGAGGAGCTTTTGGGCACTGAGGCCTCATCGGTGTCTCCCAGCACCTTGGCTGAACTCTCAGAGTCGATGCTCTCGAGGCTGAGGGCTGGAGATGGGGTGGAGGATGATGGCTCAGAGTGTGACAGTCTAGAGATGGGGTGGTGGGCTGCAAAGCAAAGGGAGAGCTCAGGGTGGAATGAAGGGACAGCCAGAACAGAAAGGGAGGGTGGCATACACTGGAGATAAGGGTCAGTGTAAAATCTTGCCTGCAAATGCTGTGCTCCAGTGGGTAGAGAGAACATAGCTAATGCAAGCTAACACAACCATCACTGCATAAAGGCCTGGCCCGCCAGGGTGATGCAGAGGCACCTGGGAAGGGGGAGACCTCCAAGGGGATGCACAGGGGCTGCAGAGGAGGGATAAAGGAGCAGGAGAAAGCTCACCTAGTGGGGAAGCATTGGGGGCTCGTGGAGCTGGCCGCTTCTTTGCCTTTGGACTGCTAGTAGGAGTGATGCCATACCAGGGGTGGAGAGGTTTGGCAGCAGTCTCGCTCTGATCTTGCTCAGGTGTGCTCTTTTGGGTGTCAGCACTTTCCACTTCCTCCTCATCCTCTTCCTCAAAGGGGTTGTATGGTTTGGGCTGTGTTGTATCAGACCTGCTCTCCTCACTCTTGGCTTTCCCCGACTCCTCTCCATCCTCCTCCTCTGAAGTCCTACTTGGAGTCTCATGGTTGTTGCCTGGGGGAGGAGGGGGAGCTGGCTTCTTCTTGGGCTCTGCTTGCACTAAAGCCATCCATGGTGGGTCCTTGGCTCTTGCAGCAGCTCCACCACTGGTAGAAGAGAAAGAGAAATTGAGATGGCAGAGAGAAAGTGGGATGGTGGGGTGGCGAGGCACTGGAGAGGGACTTAGCTCTTGGGGGAAAGGAAAGATGGAGCAGGATGTCTCCCATGCAGAAGCAGCTTTCTCATCCATGGATGGCCCCAGGCTTCCCTAGACAAAGTGTCTCACTCTCTGTGGGCAAACCTACAGGCCTTAGGGAAACACAGCCTGCCTGACTTGCCTTCTGGGCCCAGTGTTTTGGTACCTGAATACTACAGCCTCCATCTGCTAAGCAGTGGTAAAGGCTGATCTTTATGGGCATAGCTAGTCTTCCCACATTTCCCAGGACCAATCCCCCACAAGGCAGATAAATGTCCCCTTCTCAGCACCCACAAGCAGGGCCATTCCAGAAGGCATTTGGCAATCTGCCTGTGCCACACAAACACCCTTCTGAAGCTCTCAAACTCTTTACAATAAGAGACAAATGCCCTGGGAGGTATGGATGAACACTGTCAGCCTGACCATGCTAGGCCAGCACCTATTAGAAAAGAAACCTGGTCAAAGCATACATCCTCCTAAGAGCAGGAGCTGAAGGAGGTGGGAGAGAAGACCACAGCTGTGCTGTCCCCATAGCCCCATCCTGCTATGGGGTTTTCAGGTGATCTGAAAACAGAGGGACATACCGATCAGAGGAGCAGGGTCTCCCTCGGGGTTTTGGGACCGGGGGGCTGGGTTCAGGTACCCGACCTAGAAAGACACAGAGTCAGACTGTCACAACACCAAAAGGACATGAAGAAAGAGGTTAAATCAACATGAGGCACTTCTTAGATTACCTTCCACAGGAGTGTGGCGATTCCCACTCACTGAAGACCTCATGGCATTTCTCCCACAGTCAATGCAGCCAGCTAACCCCAAACATCCCTTTGCCTTTTTCTCCCCGCTTCACCCTGGAGAATTGACATGCCCCTCTGTTCCCACACCTGCAAACTCCTCCAGCTGTACTATCTTCCCTCCACAGTGGCTTGCTGCCTTTGGAGAGCTCTGGAGAATACAAGGGAGAAGACAGGAGCAAAACTAGTACTGCTCTCCTTGCTATGGGGATGGCTGGCAATTGCTGGCAATCAAAGACCTGGTGTCTGAACCCAAGATTTATTTGGAGGCAGAAGAGTGTCAGGCTGCAGAGAAGGAAGGGAACTCAGCCAACCACCTCGGCCACTGAGGATGTAGAGGGTAACCTCTGACACCACAATGCCCTCTTACCGTTCACCATGCCGGGCCCACAGTCGCTGCCCTCGCCCTGCAGAGTGGACCTGGGCCGGGGGACAGGGTGGGAGGATGGAGGGGAGAGGGCAGATGCATCGGTGGCCTTCCTTGGAGCTGGGGTGGGACGTGAGTCTCTGAGCCGTCCATCCAGTGTGCTGCCTTTGTCCTGGGTGAGCCCTGCAGGCTTGCTGGGGATTGGAGGCCTGGGGGGAGTTTGGGAGACAGATGCCCCACTGCCAGCGTGAGCAGGGGGTGCCGGTGTCTCTGCTTTGCTGGCTGTGCTGTCCTTCTCTGCTGGGCCAGCATGGCCCTCTGCAGGCATAGGGGTCTCTGCCACACTTTCCTGGGAGTCACCATCATCCTTCCTCACGCCTGCTCCTGCCTGGAGGGCATTCTCTCCCATGCTGTCAGCCCCAGTCTCAGTTCTTAGCTCTGGTGACTGTTGGTCTGGGCTGGGCCTCCTTTCTGCCTTCCCACTCCCGGCCAGTTTACCACGGTGCTGCGTGCAGACAAAAGTCCCTGCCTCTGACCCAGGCTTGTATGACCCCGGGAGCAGCGTGCTGGAGCATTCCTTACACCTGCCAATGAGAAGATAGAGCACCATGAGATGGGGGATGCCATCCTGCCCTTCACAGAAGGCAACAAACCTGGCAGACCCTTGTAGGGACACAGTAGTGTAGTTCTTACACCTGCTATTAAATCCTGGAGTGTCCCTGGGGAAGTCATTTGGAAAAGAAGTAGAGAAATGTAACTGGGCCACTGTAGGGACCCACGGCAAGTTCACAACTCAAATACTGCATGCATTTGGGTTCTTCCTTCATCTCAGAAAGGATTTAATAGATATGAAAGGGTGACAGTTGGCATTGGGAGATGATATGGCTTCCACACTTGCAATGGGAAGAGGGATCAACCATTCACAGACATGAAACAGTGAATATGAACTGGAATTAGGAAGCAACTGGTTTAGAACTGGCACAGGGAGGCTACGGGCCACCTTGTGGGGGCCAAGGGTCCTGGCACGTTAAAGAACTGTCAGATACATTTGTTTGCAAAGCAACTGCTCCCCAATGCTGATTATTAAATAAAATTACTTCAGTTTCAACTTGGGAAATTACTGCATTGGAGGCTTCCAGAGTATTCAGGAGAAGGAACTCACAAGCCTGGCCTGGTCTCATGCTCAGCCTCAATAATGCTGACCACGGCATGCAGCTAGGCCACAGCATTTGGCTGGAAGGACAAGGGCCTTATGCAGCAGGGCCATTCTTACACTCTGCCTTGCCTGTTGAAATTGGGCTAATGGCTTTCCTGCCCTTCGATGTCTGGCACATCTCCTTGGGTCATCCACTCTTCCCCCACTGAGCCTCTGAATGCTTCCTAATGAAGCCCTCCAGGTGCAAGCATGATACAAGGCACAGTCAGTCCTTCTCTACCTAGGAAAGGAGGTGGATAGCATACATGAAAGACAGCCAAAGGCAAGGGGCTGATCAAGCACTCCCATGAAAACCAAGCTTGTTCCTTCTTGTCTGAATACCTGGTGCTCACAGCAGCTGGCTGCCCTACACTGCCAGCAGATAATTTTGGCAAGGAATTCTGCTCTGCAGTTGACTGGGATTTCCTTTGAAATGGAGAACAGAAGTGTGAGGACATAGGGACTGTAGAGAGAAGGGGTATGATGAAATGAGGAGGTGGAAAACTCAGACAAGGGGAAAAAGTGGTTTGCTTTGGGTTTATCTCCATCAGCCCATGGGGACCACTGCCACAGAACATTTCTGACCAAATACTGTCCATGAATCAGCACAGGAAAAAAAAAAACAAAACAGAAAATAGACAAGAAAATAATCAAGAGGCAAAATATTTGGGACAAAATTACAGCGATCTCTCTGCTCAGTCTGAAGGGCCACAAGCTGTGCCACAGCAGATATGGTACCTCTCCTGTTCCTGGACCATGAGGACAGCGGGAATGTTGCAGCTGCACCCCAAAACTCCTGTTTTTGTCCCAGCTGCAGATGGGAAGCCTGATGGGCCCCAGCTCAGCTCCCTTCCGGTGACACTGTTTCTACAGCATGTCCCCAACTGGCTTAGGCCAGTTAGAATGAGGCCTCCCACATCTTCCAGGTGGCTCGATGTTTCTGTCCTCAGATGCCAACCCTTGTCCTATGGCCCATGGGAGAGATCTCATTTCTTCATCATCATAGCAGGGAAAGCAAAGTGAAATGATTTCACAGGTGCTGCAGGTAAGGACCTGCACTCAGGGAGTAACCACAGAGCTGCTGACGTGTAAACCCTCATTGCTCAGTTTGTTAACAGTCTGCAACTCTCCACATGCTCCCTGGCAGCTCAGCACCACCCAGGCAGCATGGAAGCCTGTATATCCAGTCGAGGATGTGGAGTGCAGGTGGAAGGAGGTCTGTAGGATGATGTCATGGCTCAGACCTCAGTGGAAGGTGAAGGGGGATGGCCCTGGGTAAGCAAGTGGTAAAGAAGCAGAGCATCCTTTTTTATGGAGTTAGGAGAAGCCTCAAGAGGCTGGGATTCCAAGGAAGTGAAGTGGGAAAGCACAAGTCAGAAAGGGAGTCAGGGAACAGGATAGGAATGGACACAAGGGGCTAGTCAGACCTCTGGGACAGGGCACTGGCAGGCAAATGGCACATCTTCACTGTCATTTCAAGCACTGCTGTTTATGTTCCATGATATCCAGGGAAGCAACATTCAAAGATGCGGTGCAACAGGCCACAGAGCCCCAGTCTGCTGAGGAGAGAAGCTGCCCCACCAGGCCTGACCACGACATACCTGAAGCACTGGCGGTGGTAGAGCTTGCCCTCGGCCAGGTAGCGCTGCACCAGGTGGACGTGCTGCTGGCAGGCTGCACAGGTGCTGCTGAGCGTGCTGCGCTGGGACCGCTCCGAGGGGACATCATCCTGGGACACAACGCACAGACAGCTCAGGGTGGGGGCCACGAGCTGCTCCCCAGACCACGGATTCTCCAGAGCAGCTGCTGCCTGTGCAAGGCCCGTCACTGAGGACTCGTGGCACAGCTCAGGGGCTGACCTCAGGGACTGACAATGCACAGAACAGCTGCCCTCAAGCCCAGGCAAAGGCAGGCTGCCTCTTCCCAAATTAGAAGGTGCCACTCCAAAAGGTGCCTTGGCCATATGTACAGCTGAAGGGCTGTGGAAGGGACTAATCTATACCCCATGCACCAAGGTCCTGCAAAACATTGAAATAGGTCCCATCCCAGACAACTGCTAAAATCTGAAATAAAAGGTATATTTTCTGCCCTTCTAGTCCTAGATTCCTGCTCTTTCCTCATCTACAGGGTTATCCCCACATATGAATGAGAGTGTTTGTACCCTGGGTGGTTCAAGGAACCATCCAGCACCAATCTGCCCAACCTCTTGCCTGCCATGGACAAATTACAGTCCACAGACCCATAGAGAAAAATCACTCTCAGCTGGATCCCACAGGGAAACAAAATCCCAAACACCCCTCACTCCCAAAATACACAGGCAGGCCCCTGCAGAGATCCATGGCTCTGTGACAGGCTTTTTCCCATCTCCTCACCCACAGTGCAGGGGTTACCGCTGCCTCAGGCTGTCTTTGAATCAAGAAATCAGGTACCTGTGGTGCTGTAGGACTCTCGATTGCAGCCACGGGCGTCTTGTGGGACAGCAGAGGAGGAGAGGAGGCAGCAGTTGGTCGCTTCATAGGCGGAGGGACGCTGGCTGGAGGCAAGAGGGAAGGAGGATCAGACATGGAGAGCAGTGGTGACTCACACCACCCATGTGCGGGAAGGGAGGGGAAAAAAAGAAAATCATCCAGCCTTGTGACATAGGATGAGACCTGCCGCTCCCAAAACTTCAGTGCTTATTTTAGGTGGAAGAGACAAACACAATCTAATAATGGGTCAGCTGTGAGGCTGCCAGAGAGCCTGACGTGCTGTGGATCCCCTTCTGTGGCCCAGGGATACCAGCCTCCCACCGTGATTTTATTTACTCATCACGTGCTATTTGGCTTCCTTGTAATTGACTCCCTAAGCAACGCTCAAACCCAGAGCAGCGGGGGTAGCTGCTGAGGTATTGTTGTGACCCACTGGGCCCCAGGGCTTCCAGGCTGTCAGCAGGTCTGTGAAACATCTCTTGCTGTCAGGGCTGGAACTCACACACCAGTCTCCAGCAGGATTCTTTGTCTAGGAGACCAGCATCCCTGGAGAAGCATACAGAAATGGAAGAGATTTATCTGATGCTGTGGCTACAGACTGAAACAGAGACCTGGAGCTCTCATCTCCACCCAGCCAAAGGATGCCTGGGAAGAGCTGTCTCAGAGCACTCAGTTCAGGCTGCAGTTGTAGGGGCAGATGAGCTGATTTGAAACATTCCACCCTGGCTCCACTCCCTCTGTCCTCCAGTCACTTTACATATACCTATATGATAAAAATTAGCTGTGGTAGATGGGCTCCTTTCTAGCTTTCTCCTATTTCAGTGGGTTAGAGAAGATCACAAAGAATTCTGGTGAGCACCAGGGGTGGTGGCCCAACCCAAGTTGGCAGGAATGCAGCTCAGAGGGAGGAGAAAGGCGTTTCTTTTTCCACAGCCTGAGCTGTTACATCACCTCACACCTCTTGTGAAACCTCACCCCAATGCACTCTCTCTTCCAGGCCTTCCCCAGGGGCACCAGCAAGATGCAGGAGAGGCAAGTACCATCTGCTCCTCTCCCCCTCCCCAAAACACAGTTCCCAGTTGCCACAGGAAGGAGGAAGCACAAGGTGCTGCTGGGTTTCCTATACTCGAACAGGGGCAAACTGAAAGACTGAAGGGTGGGAGGACACTCACCTTGGCTGGGGTTGTTGAAATGGTTGTAGTACTGAGACACATAAGTCATGATGCTGAGGCAGTCAGGGACTTTCATGGAGACCATATCATTGGGATCTAGCAGGGCTGGGATGCCCAGCTCCCGCTCTGCCAACTCAAAGGCCTGCACGAACAGCACAGAACCATTAAGGAAAGAAAACTGACGCTTCATGAAAAATAACAGAAATATCAAATTGGAAGGACTCCAGGGAAGGTTAAATAGTGAGCCTATGGCATCCCTTACAGACAGAGACTTCCAGACATGCTGCTTGACTAAAAAAAGTAGCAATAGAAGCAAGGTTCCCTTCCAGTTTTCACTGAAAAAAAAAACCCAGTGTTTCTTTCAGCTCAACCTGCAGTGCCTTCAGGCAAGAGCCTGACAGTCTTGGTTGGCCCCACGAATGGCCAAGGGCTGGCAGATACTTCCAGTGACACTGTGCTCTACTGGGCAGTGTCCCCAGCCACCCCAAATGCTCACCCCACAGAAACACTGACTGCCCATCCTTTCATGCTCTGGGGTGCCACACCTTCCCCTCCCACAATCAACAGAGCCATCCTGGCTCAAAATCCAGCACCCTGCCAGTACTTTCACTACTAATCTGTGTCTCAGCAAGCAGAAACAAGGACACTGATAAGAAGCACCCATCTCCTCCAACTGCATACATGGCTACCCAAAAGGAAGGAATGGAGGAGGAAAAAAGTTGTTGGAGAGTTTCCCACTTAGCAGTATGTGTGGGTTATTGTCTCTACACTGGCCATCCCTCTGCTGAGCCAAGGGCAGCGTAGCCACATTGAACTCCCAGGGATGGGGGTGCAAGATTATGGCAGGGACTGAAGAGAAGTTAGCCAGGAGGAGATGAGAGTGGTTTGGGTACTGAATGGTGAGGTACAGGTGCACAGCTAAAGGTACTTAGTGTGGGTAAAGACTGAAAATGCTTAGCGTCTGGGGCATGAGGTGCTGTGCAGGATGTGAGATATAAAGGAAAGGAATGGAGAAACAAAAGAAAATGGATATTTGCAGTAACTAGGGGTGTAAAAGTGCCCCGTATGGACATTCGGCTCTGCTCAGCCTGGCTTTAAGCCAGTTGTCTGTACTGAGTCTTACTGAACACAAGGCTGCAAACAGCAAGGAGTGAAGAGAAACTCCACCTGAGAAGTCTCTAATAGGACAAGATACCCATTGTGTGGGTCTTGAATGGAAAAAGCTGCTAATGACTGAAAGGGGCCAACTGGTATAGGAAAGGACATGTCAGGAACAGCTAGACACCCTAAACCTGTAAATCCCAAATCACAGAATTACAGAATGGCTGGGGTTGAAAGAAACCTCAGACATCATCTAGTGCAAACCCTTGCTAAAGCAGGTTCACCTAAAGCAAGTGACGCAAAATCACATCCAGTTGGGGTTTAAACATCCCCAAGAGTAAGAGACTCCACTTCCTCTCTGGACAGCTTAGTCCAGTGCTCTGTCACCCTCACAGTAAAAAATGTTTCTCCTTATATTCAGCTGAGGATTCCTGTAATTCAGTTTGTACCTCTTGTCCCTTCTCCTGTTGATGGGTACCACTGAAGACTTTAGCCTCATCCTCAACATCAGTCATTAAGATACTTGTATGTAGCATAACTCATCTTGGGAAGGTGATGGGCTGTACCTTTCCACAGACTATCAATTAGGTCTTTCTCTCATTTAAAAAAACCAGGGCTATTGCTGTTCTGTCCTACCACTAACCCCTGGGGCTGGGCACCTCCCTATTCCACACTGCCTGCTTCTGCTACTGGCTCCAGCTGTCCCAGGCAGGAAGAGAACATTGCAGACCAGGATCTAGCATGACCTTCTTTTCTGCTGAAGTAAAACTAGCTTCCTGCTTCCATAGCCTGCAAATCCAAAACAACTGAAGTCAAGAAAATGTTGCACCATTTAAATCTTCACCTGAGATGTTGTCTTGGCAACTATTAGGACAACCAGGCTGGAAGTTGATGTTTCAGATTCCCTTGTTTCCAGAGAAGCTTCTGCCTGTTACTTACAAACACAGATTTTTCTTATACCCTCAGCACTGTCACAAATTCCTCATACACTACGTGACCTCCATCAAGTCATTCTCACATCACTTCTTCCTGCTGCGTACTGCAGAACAGGGACTTACCAAGCGATTATTCTCATAGACGTCATCCTTGGAGAGAGAATCAAAGTCTCTGAAATGAGAAAGCACAAAATAGTTACATGAAGTGCAGAGGAAAAGTGTACCTATGCCATCACATGTAGATTGCCAGGACAGTCAACCTTACAACAACTCAACACCTAAGATCCTAGATAAACAAAACCTTGGCAAAGCAGATTTCAGGTTGTAACGGGACAAAGAAACCAAAGGGAAATTGCAATTATAAAAAGAAAGCGAGTCTCAAATGGGTGGTGACCAGGAAATTAAAGTCATTCTTGTCTCTCATTACTGCTTCTACCCTTGAGATTCAAGGCTGCAGAAATACCATGGCCATGTTTCAACTAGCACCACACGGCTGCACCAAAGGGTGCACAACATGATCCCAAACTTGCTTTTCCAAGGCCACTGGCACAACAGTGGAATGGGGACACAGATCCCTCATCTCAAGAGAAAGAAGGGACAGATACAGGTGGCTCTATGAGGGTCCTTAGATAAACCTCCCTGCACCACCTCAAAGAATTTGGGGTGACACAGAGGATCTTAAACTTCACTTCTGTCCTTGCTTTCCCCCAAATACTCATAGTGTTTAACAAACCATCCTCAGCTGCAGCCCTTGGAGCTGAATGCAAGGTGTTCAGGGCACACAGAGGAATCCCAGCAGTCTCCAACCAGGGAATTCATTTGTTCCAATCCATTTCACTTGTTCCCCTGGAGCCCTTTGGAGGTTCAGCCTGACCACAGGGACTGATTAGCTGCCTTCACCAGGGAAGCAGAGAGCAGAAAGTTAAAGCAGTCTGCAGGCTTTCAAAAGAGGGGGAGAAATGCAGGAAGGAGTTAGTTATGCCTTTTGCGTGGGTATAATGTGTGAAAATAGCATCATGCTGCACTGCTTTTACAGCTCCTTCCTGCCGAGGATCTCAGCTTTGTTACAAAAAAACCCCTCATGCAGCAGCCTGGTGTACCTGCTAGCCTAGGATTCACGGGAGGATGCAGTCCAGAGAGGTCTAGAGTCAACAAAGCCACCCCAATGGACCACAGAGAGGTGCCAAAGCTTGGGAGATCAACACAGAAGGACAATTCAGACTAGTGGGAGGAATGCATTCCTCACCCTGAAGGTGGTGTGCAGGATCCAGGTGAGATGGCACCATGCACCTGCGGAGAGGGGCTACAGGAACCTCCTTCCTCCAGTCCCCTCTGGATTTTATTGCCTTTTCCTGTAACACCAACACAACCCATCCTGGCGCCACATGGCACGGCAGCGAGCCCCTTCTCAAAGCCCCTCACACAGCTTTCCCAAAGCTGCAGAGGAAGTCTGTGATGAGCTCAGGAAGGTTTTCCCGGCTGCCTACACCACCATAAAATCACACTTCCTCCATTCAAAAGCAAGAGTCTGCTGGTGCCGTTTCCTCACAGATGAACGAAGCTGCAAGCCGCTCGCTGCTGTGGGAGCAAATCTATTACCTCCCTCAAAGCTCATGTGAATACATGTACAGAGCTCAGACTGCTCAAAATACCACAACTTTTCCTTTTCTACATGCTGGTGAGCAAAGGCTTCAGCTGCAGCCTATGCTTTAATGTCAAAACCACTGCCATTTCTGTAGTTATAACTAGTCTCCACTGGGAGATGTTTTTTCCGAAAGTTTTTGTTTTGTTTCTGCCAAGAGAAGTCCTTTAACTTTGCAGTATCTTTTTTTCCCTTTTAAAGAAAAATGCCAACTTGGAACACAGGAGAAGCAATGACAACAAAGTTATATATCAACTGCCCTCTAAACATTCATGACCTTCATTTTGAATGCTGTCACTTTCAGGATATGGGAGTGGTGTAGCTGGAAACTCAAAGACTCCTTGGTGGACTGGGCTGGGAGAGAACTTCCAGATAGACAAAACATCACGTCCATTCCACCCTGCCCCAGCAACCAAAGCTGTTTTAATAAACCAAGGCAACTCCATTAGCAAAAATAGATGCCAGCAGAGAGGATATGAAGCTCAAGAGGCAACAAGGGGTTACCAAGCAGCAAGGGAATAGAAGATACTTTTCCACTAATGTAGGATTGCAGTCTCAGCTTTACCAAAAACATTGAAGTCCATCAGTACAAGGCCCCAGGGATCAGTTTATTCAGTTCCTCTCCACTGCATTTTCCAGCTCCCTCTCTGATAGGCCAAGCAGGACCACACTGACCTGTATTGCTTCTGACACGAGCACTCCCATATGCCATTTGATCACGTGGCTTCCCTGTGGCTCCAGGCAAGCTCCCAGTACCAACGTGCAAGGAGCATGGCCTCTCAGGCATGGGGAAAAGTCACTCCAGACACACCCCTTTTCCCTCTATAAACTGTCTCCTCTGCAGAGAGCCCAGAACTTGCCATCTCGCAATTCTGTGACATGTGGCTACATGTCACATTCTTTCCTTGCCCTGATCTCAGCAGTCTTTCATCCAGCCCTGCTCATTCTCCTCTCCTGCCAATATATCCATCCAAGGGATTGGATGTAAGAACGGGCAAGACTCTGGCTATCCCAGCTGAACAACTGTCTTGACTCAGCAAACCCCAGTGTTGTACCATATCCTGGAGTAATATTTCTATGCAAATAACATCCCAAGCACTTACCTAATTAGATACATGCACAGCCACTAAGCACTCCCGGGTTTAGGGCAGCGGCCAGGGAGCACAGTAGATCCAGGGAAGGGGGAAGGGTGTGCCGTACAGCTAAAACCAGAGCAAATTCCTGGATTCCTTAAATATAAATCATGAGCACTTTAAGGCAGTGCCACATAATAAGCCATTCAGCTTTCCAGGTCTTGTCAGGGAAATGCAGGCTGTACATGGGAAGGAACAAACAAGATTTGTGATCCTGCCTGTAACCAAACCCACGGCTCTAGGGACACAAAACAGAATTTCTAAGATAGCTCTCATCTCCTGTTTTACTAAAGCCTCAATTTCTCCCAGCACTTCAAAGGCATGTGCCATACTCCTTTATTCTTCTCTCACCCTTGAATGCCAAGATCCTTCCCTGAGCGCCAGGGAGGCTGTACAGCTTGGGACACTGAAAGATGCTCTTTGCTTCACTAAGCTGTAGCAAATGCCTTGTAAACGCTAATTTCATGCTTCAGATTTCTAGAGCACTGAGCAAACAAACTCATTAATCCTCACAGTCCACTGTCAAATTGGTCTGGATGTTGCCAGCTTAACTGAAAAGGGAAGAGAAGAGATTAAATGTCTCATCTCCAGATCACACAGCTAGCAGCACAGTCAGAGGCTAAATCCAAGTTTCCCATTTTCCTGATTGGGACAGTGAGGCAACGAAGCCAAGTGAAGTGCCTACAACAGCAGAGTCAGGGATTTTCATCTGCATGGTTCAACACACAGATCCTACAAGTATGCACCTCGTTCTTGGTGGCCACTTCAAGACACCTTTAGCTGGATTCAGCAGACACTGAGGAATTCCAGTCTACTTCTTTCAAAAAGCCCCAAACTATAGTGTTTCCAAGAGCTCGGAAGGAGCTGCTCCAAAGCTTTCCACGGCAGCGTCCCTCTGATACCATTTGCCTTATTCCACGGTGATTGTGTTCAAATCAGGGGTCATGCTGAAGACTGTCCTCAGTCTCACTTACCCATATGGTCTTTCATGGCAGCCTCTTTCTCAGTGTGTCCCCTCCCAGCACAGTACCACAACAGGGGTGCATCCAGGCAAGGTCAGAAAACCGGGACAGTCTGACAGCCACCACAGCAGCATTGCCCAGGGGATCAGGATGGCAGAGGAGCGGTGTCACACAGGTGAGCTTCAGCTCAGCTCTCCCATGAATGTGCCCATTCCTCCCCTCTGCAATCTCAGGGGAAGCCAGCAGGAAGCAGGGAAGCAGCTGCGTGCAGAGGAACTCCAGCCTTTGGGGAGCAGCGCAGCTGTCTCCTGCGGGCCAGGGGAGCCCCGCGCAAAGGGAGAACACACAAGGTCAGAAATGCGTTCACAGATCCCTGCCAAGTCCCATTACTGGGCTGACTGAAAGCACTTTAGAAGAAAAGAAGGGCAACCACTTTTCCTCTACCGTCAGGAGATTTACTGCCTCTGATCCAATCTTCCCACTTCCAAATCGGGACAGGCTGAAGAAGCTGGAATCAGATGAAATGATGCTACTCTCCTGACGGCCGTCTGAAAATCCTTCTATAACATGCCATGTCCTTGTAAGGCCCTGGGCTTTGTCTCTACAATGCAGCTCGTGCAGAGGACCTGTGAAGCATGTAGTTAGGACATCTGCCAGGAGCAGATTTAAGCCCCTGACAACTTAAGAGCAGCAGCCTCTGCTTTAATGGGATGGTAAATATGGTTAATGGGAAATCATCAGGTGGTTTTACCGGACTTCTGCTTTTCAGTTCTCAGTTATTGTGTCATTTACAAAAAAATTAATAATTGCAAGCGTTCCTGTCCTTAATTTGCCTCTTCCCACCCATCAGCCTTGCAACTGGTAGCACTTTCAGAGGGTCCATTCTAGCTAGTCAGCCATACCATCTAAGAGCTGCAGGACATAAGACCACACTATTCCTTCAAGACCCAGAGTGATGCAAAGACACTGTATGTCTTGGCTCTCAGTCATTCCAGAACACCATGCCGAGGGTCTTGGGGCAACCAGCTGAAACACAGCAGGTGTTCAGTTTCCAGCCTATCTGCTCAGCTTCAGCCTGTAAGGACACCGGCCTGTTTCAGCCTCTCACAGGCACCACAGCTCTACAGTAGAGTCACAGTCAACCCTCTGCCCGACAGAGGTTGCTGTCATGGCAAAAGGCCTTCCTGAGGCCAGCTCAGGAAAGACAACTTGGTCAATATGGGCAACCCCAGAGGAAGAATCACCAGTCCCACAGCAGAACGTGACAGGGGGATGCATCACCCTTGCTGGATTCAGCGGCAGCAAAGGAGTGCGTGCCCGCCGGAGGCACAGCAGGGTGGGGCGATGGCTACCTGCTTTGCAAGGGCTACCAAGGATTAGAACAGATGGGCGCCGGATTCCCAGCACTTCTGGGCACACAGGGTTACAGCAGCAGGTCGGGGCAGATTCCTTCCAGCGGCTCAGCCAGTTTCTCCAGCCTGACACTGTGCCCCCAAGCAATCCCAAATTCACTGTCTGCCTCCTGAAACTCACATTCCCCCTCAGAGACACCCAAGCTGTGGGAGGCGAGAGAGGCTCAATACCCCTACTGGCATTTGCTACTTCCTGCTTTCACTGTGGCATCTAGAGAAAACAAGCTAGAAGTGAATGCAAGCAGCAACCTGGCCCAGACCTCTACACATTTCAGAGTGGCTGCCTCTGGCAGTTGGGAATGCCCCTGTGCAGGGCAGGCCTTTGGCTCCCACAAAGTGTGAAAGCTCACTTTTTGCTGAGGCAGATACCAACACCATGTCTTTTCTCTAGTAGGCGCTGCTCTCATTTGAGTGAATGGACCTAGTCCACCTCCACGCTCTCACCAGCCTTAAATCACAGGACTTCTGCTAACCCTGACCTTAACAGGTCTGCAGGACCAGGTCGAAAGGTCGTTTGCTGAAACACAGAGTGATAGAATGGTTTGGCTTGGAAGGCACCTGAAGGATCATCTGGTTCCAATCCTGCTGCCATGAGCAGGGAAACCTTCCACTAGACAAGTTTCTCAGAGCCCCATACAACCTGGCTTGGAGCACTGCCTGGGAATATGGAATCCTTCATTCCCAGTACCCAACTACTTCTCGACAGCACCTTCTTCAGCGCATCCCCTACCAGCACATCAGCACAACGGAGACGCATCCGCTCTCTGAGCCCTTCATGCCCATGCTCGTGGGAAGCTGGAGCTTCCCTGCCAGCCAGCCTGGAGCCGCTACCCACGGCGCCTCCATCCCCCGCAAACCCCTGAGAGCCCCCGCGATCGCTGCTGGGCACAGGCAGCCCAACCCCTCCAGAAAGGGGGGTCCCAGCGGTCCCGCGCACCCAAACCCCCGCGGTCCCGCTCCTTGTGCCAGCAGCGCCCGCGGGCGGCAGCCGGGGCCCCGCGGCGCCCCGTCCGAGCGGCGGGCAAGGCGCGGCCTGCACTCACAGGAGGTCGGGCCGGTGGCGGTGCAGAATGGCGCAGAAGGCCAGTCCGTCGCGGAAGGAGGTGCTGAGGTCGCGGATCTCCACGCCGCGGTAGCCCTCGCACTGCCGGCGGCACCAGGCTTGCAGGGCGCCCCGCGGACCCGACATCGGGGCGGCCGCTCCCACCGCCGCCGCCGCCGCCGCCAGCCCGGGGCCGGGCGGGGCCTCCCGGGGCGGGGCTCGGGGGGCGGGGCCCGGCCCCGCCGCGGAAGCTCCAGGGCCCCCGGGCTCAGCGCTTCCCGGGGAGCAGGGCGGCGTGCCGTGGGAAGCACCCTCTCCCACCTCGGAGAAAGAGTTGGGCCTGAATGCAATTTAAATTCAACTAGATTAAAAACCAGTCGGCAACCTGATTTCTGGATCCCTCCCAGGCTTAGACAGAGGCTGCTCCAGGCAGAAGCAGTTCTCAGCAGTCCTAGGGGCATAAGCCGTGGCAGTGAAGTACATCTGGGACGTAGGTGGCTCCCAGGGTAGGCTCAGGGCCAAAGAGAGCTTTGAAGATCAAGACACTTGGAGTCACAGGCAGCGCTTCACAGGAAGCCCTGGAAGAAGCGGAGGAAGAGTGCGATACAATCTCAGGAACCACAGCACCGAGGCGATGGATTGTCACGAGAGCTGATGTGCGTGCTCGGGGTAATGGTTTAACAAGTGAAGGGAAGCACACTATTAAAGGCTGCTGTATTGGGCTTAGCATTCTTTTCATCTCCAACAGCCACCTCTGTGGAAGACCAAACCATCACACTGATGTTGAGCTTACTGCCGCCAGTTCCAAATATTTAAGAGTTCCTTCTCTGAAGTCATTTTGTACGGGCTCAACACTCCTTCCTTCACTCAGATTCCATGCATAGCACCCTCTTTCTTCTACTCCACTGTTACATTCTATCATTCTACGGTCCCAGAAGTGTAACAAGTGAAAATAAATTTTCTGGCTGGTTTGTACAATCTCCCCACTCAGTGCCCAAGATAAGCTGAGGTGTAAATCACAAGAGAAACTACTCTGTAGCAAAAAAGGAAGTGAAACATTGTGTCGGTTTCGCAACGACTGAGCTGGCTATGCAGCATCCCCCAATCTGTCTGACAGCATCTTCCTGATGTATCCTAAGGGACAGTAGGATGAGCGAGGTTTTCTTGACTTTTCCAGTTTCCGTAATTATACTTAGCCCCTTCACAACTGTAGGTCAGAGACAGAGACACAGAGTACATGGTTCCCTCCGACAAAACCATTTTGTCCAGAACCACTTCCACTCACCAAACCCTGCTGCAGCAGGCGAGGCTCGAGCTCTAGCCACCCCCACCTCCCTCCGGAGCGCCTTCCAGCACCAGCGGGGCTGTTGAGGCTGCTGAACACCCTGCATTCCTTTGGCTTCAAGCAGTGCCAGGCACCGCAGCTCGCTGAGCCCATCTTTCCACCCAGTGAGAGCTGCAAGCTCCTCCTGGCTTCGTTCCACCAAGTGCCAGTCCTGCTCAGTTAACCTTCGGCAGTCCCTCAGAGAAGGCGGGGAGCCAGCAAGATCAGTGGATGGTCTCCGTGTGTCCTTTGGAAGCTGCTCTGGCAAATGGAAACAAAGCAGCAGCATATTTACAGACCTGAGAACAGCTTGTAACCACTGGAGTGTTTCAGATGATACAGATTTACATTAAAAATCTGTAATTCCGACATGCCAAACAGATATTAAAATCCCAGTAACACACTGGATTCCTTTGGTATGCTATGAACTAGAATTCATTATGGAGGTACCTGCCAGGGTTCTCATGCCGTGTATCACATCCACCTGAGCATGTCCTGGGAAAGATTTAGGCTTTGGATAGTAAGAAAGTAGGGCAGTTGCTGTTGACAGCTATGCTTACTGTGCTGCTCTTGGCAAATACACAGAAGGAAAAGTGCCAGCCCTAAAATCAAAAAGGAGCAGATTCTGCTTGATATAAACACAGCTCCCCATGGGTTGCTGCAATGCAGTGGCATCTCCGTCCTTTAATTTCTTAATGATATGGCTGCCTCAAATCCAGAACTGGACACAGTGAGCTCCTAGCATCCATAACACCAACATCAACAGCTAGAAGGCCAACAGGAGTTGCCCATTTAATCTGTGTTGCCTGTACCCTGCCCGCCTGAGTTACTTGATTTTGTGATGGGAAACAGAGTTTACTTCTGAGCAGTACCTAGGACACTGGAAACCTGACCCTCATTCAAACACAGACTATAATCCAACAAAGGCTAATTATTCTCTTCATGTAAACAGAATCACACACAGAGTCAAACTGGACTGCTAGGACCCCTCTCTCAGTGGAAAGGAATGAGAGGGAGAGGTACAAAGAGGCAGATGGCGTATCTGAAACATGCTTTGTGTAGCTTTCTATTGCACATGCAGGTTTTCCTCTTGCACCTGTTTCTACCACTCAAACACCAAACTATTTAAAGACAAGGGACACAGGGTGTGGAGGGATGCGATTCATTCTTTGCATTCTATTCCCCAATACTTGCAGGTCCTTGATTCCACTTTGTGTTACTCATTTTCAACTATTTTTCTCCCTTTTTCAAGGCACTACAAATTTGTGGCTGGAGAGCATGGAAAATTCGCATTCAAAGGGTTTTAATAAATTAAATGTCCTCAGGGAGTTTTCCAGAGAAACTGAACTCAATTAAATTAAGGGCCAGGTTCTGGACATCACTTCTGCTGAAATAAAACACAACCTCCAGCAAGGACATTTCATCAGACAACCAGTTAATATTGGTTCAATGTTTACAAAAACTTTCCCCTCTCCTTTGAAAACATGACAATCCACTTCGGAGCATTTCTACTCCATAGCAACAAAAATAAAATATAGAGGAGGAAAGGCAAAAATGCAATCTTCTAAGAACGTAACTACAACTCAGGTCTATTCAATGCATGGGGCAAAAGCTAAAAGGAATAGTATTAGTTTGTATCTCTTTCCATATCCTGTGAAGATATTGTGGAACAGGTCATTTTCTTCCCGTCAATCAGTTCTGCAGCCTTCCCCATTTGCTGTGCATGGCAAATGTACAGAGCACCTAAACAGATCTGCTCCCTATTGTTACCTGCAAAATGGACCAACGAGAGCACAAGCCAAAAGCAGCTGCCTATGTCTCCAGATGCAGTTATATTTGTCCAGAGGAAAAATAAATGAGTACAAATGCTCATCAGGAAAATTCCACTAATTTATTAGATGTCTTGTCCTTCACAGGATAGTTTGAGCCAAACAAGTCTGCATATTTAAATACAAAATACTTTCT